TCAAGAGGCTTTTCCGGATTTCTCTAGTTGGTTGTTCAAATAAGGAGAATCATTTAGACCTATTAAAAAAATTAGCCAACTAAGATTTGAAGTAAGAAGAATAAAGCGCTTCCCAACTGGAGACTAATAATAATACTTATAATAATAACTGACATTTATGTAATATGTTTTAAAGACTGAAAAAGTGCTTTGTAGGCATTATTTCATATTTCTTCACGATAACTCTATGAAGGTTGCTAACCATAGCCATGGGGCAGCTAGGTGGTATGGTGGATAGAGGACTGGGCCTGGAGTCAGGAAGATCTGAATTCAAATTCAGCCTCAGATACTTACTAGCTGTGTGACCTTGGACAAGTCACTTAACCCCTATTTGCCTCAGTTTATCATATATAAAATGATCTGGAGAAAGAAATAGCAAATCACTCCAAGAAAACTCTGTGGACTTTGTCATGTAGAGTTGGACACAACTCAACAACTATATCCCTGGAGGCAATGAGACTGCTAGATTTGGAGTCAATTCTTGGTTCAATTCCCTACTTTGCCATTTACTACTTGTGTGACCTTGGGCAAATGAGTTCCCCTCTTTGGACATTCCTTTTCTCATCTGTAAAATAAGGGTGTAGGACTAAATGAGCTTTAAGATCCTTTCTAGCTCTAAATCCAGGGTTTTAGAGGTATTAATATCTTCATCTTATAGATGAGGAAACTGAGGCTGAAAGTGCTTGAGTGACTAGCTATTAAGAAATTGGTTCTACCCACTTTTTAAAAATTAATTTATTTTGATTTATCAATAGTCACTTCCATAAGCCTTTGAGTTTTAAATTTTTCTCCCCCTCCCTCCCTACCTCCCTCCCCAAGACGGCAAGCAATCTAATACAGGCTATACATATACATTCTTATTAAACATATTTTCACATTAGTGATGTTGTAAGTAAGAATTAGAACTAATAGGAGGAACCACCAGAAAGAGGAAACAAAACACAACAGAAGAAAAAAAAATAGCAAATAGTATGCTTTGATCTGCATTCAAACTCCATAGTTCTTTCTTTGGATATGGATAGCATTTTCCATCATGAGGCTTTTGGGGATGTCTTAGATCCTTGTATTGCTGAGAGGGGTTAAGTCTTATCAAAGTCAGTCAACACTCAATGAGGCTGTTACTGTGTACAACAGTTCTCCTGGTTCTGCTCACTTTACTCAGCATCAAACCACAAAGCATCAACCTTTTCTTTCTCCTTTCTCCTTTTCCTTCCTCACTAATGTTTTGCTATTGACCACCACCTCCCTCAGTCCCACCTCCCTTCTATTAGCCCCCTCCCTTTTCTTTCCCCTTTTTCCCTCCTACTGCCTATAGGGCATGTTAGATTTCTATACCTAACTGATTATGTTATTCCCTTCTTAAGCCAAATCTGATGAGAGTAAGGTTCAAACAATGCTCATCTCCCTCCCTTCTTTCCCTCTGTTGTAATAGGTTTCTCTGCCTTTTCCTGTGATGTAATTTATCCTTGTCTGCCTCCTCCTTTCCTTTCTCTCAGTACATTTTCTTAGTTAGATCAGATTAATTCACTTACTTGGATCCATTTAACCTACTTGATAATTTTCATCATTAGAAAGTTAATTTATACTCACCCTCTTTATGTATATCCCTTTTACATGGTGTAATAACAATACAGTTCTCAAGAGTTGCAAGTGTCATCTTCCTTTGTAGGGATGTAAAGAGTTTGTCCTTATTAATAACATGTTGTTACTTTCTGTCCCGTTTACCTTTTCATGTCTATATTGAGTTTTGTATTTGAAGATCAAATTTTCTGTTGAGCTCTGGTCCTTTTATCAGAAAGGTATGGAAGTCCCCTATTTGATTGAATATCCACCTCCTCCCCTGAAAGACCATGCTCATTTTCACTGGGTATCTACCCACTTTTCAAAGTCAACATTGCAAAGTTAGGAGAGCCATACTGTTTCCCAAATATAAT